GGCCTTCTGTTGCGAGGGTCTATGTTGAAATTGATCTTACTAAGGAAATGCCTCAGAAGATAAGGATCAATTGTGGGACGTATGGCTTTTCTCAAAGTGTTATCTATGAGAATTGCCCTGAATATTGTACCTTATGTTTACACTTAGGGCATTCTAAATCTAAATGCCCCAAGAGGACAGTGGAGCAACCTAAAATTCTAGCATTACAAAAGGATAAATGGGTGCAGAAAATAATCTCAACCAAGGAAAATCACGACAGGAAGTACACTACAGAGGAAAAAGGGAAAGCTAAGATTACAGAGGTTAATCTTTCAAATACACAATCTACATCAAAGCTACAGATTGAGCAGATTGACTTAGTTCCAGAGATGGTATCTCTAGAGATTCCAAATGCAGGGGAAAAGGAAGAAATTAAATCTCTCATACAGATGGAAATATCTGGTATTTGCAATTCATCTCCTGGGGACATTACAATGATCAAAGATGATTCTCAGTTGCTGCATTTGAACAAACAAATAGATAAGGATCTGTCAATTCTCAATAAAGGGTATCATTCAGAAGGTGAGCACTATGATAAGATGTCTTCAGATAGTATTGAACAATTAGATCCTTTTATACTAAAATCAGTGGAGGCTATGGCTATCAGATTAGAAGCAGCAAAGGCAGAAAATATTACCAATTCAGCAGAGGCTATCAACCTGACTAAATCTAGAAATGCTATGCAATCATCTCAAATTCCTGAGCCACAACAACCTGTTTTAAACTACACACAATCAGAAGAGGAGGAGGAAGGTTTTACTAAAGTTGAAAGGAAAAATGTTAGGAGAAAAGCACCTACTGATCCAGCATTTAGGAGAGCAACAAGAAGTGCAGCTAGGGGTGAAGGGGCTGATATCCAAACAGTCCAATGAATTGCTTAATTTGGAATGCTAGGGGTCTGGAATCCTCCAGTTCCAGATTAAGTTCCCTAGTTCAACAATGGAGGTTGGTTATTGTGGTGGTTATTGAGCCTATGGTGAATATGCTTAAAATGAGCCATTACAAATCTGTTTTAGGTTTCGATGAAGCAGCCTGTTCTTTTGGTACTAAAGTATGGATTTTTTGGAATTCTAATGTTGTTCAGATTACTCAGATCCAATGGCACAATCAATTTGTTCATTTTAAAGTTACAGGCAGTTTATATAATGGTTGGTTTACTGGTATTTATGGTCAGCATAACTATATTTCCAGAAGAGATCTGTGGTCATCTCTTAAGGCTATTTCTGGTAATATGGTCGAACCTTGGATCTTGGGGGGGGGGGGGATTTTAATGAAATAACTAAACATTGTGAGCATAAGGGGAATTCTTTGCCAATACTTCGAGGGGTTAATGATTTTGTTGAATGTATATCAGCATGTGAGCTGATTGATCTGCCAGTTTCAGGACCTAAATACACATGGACTGGGGTTAGATCAAATGGTAGAGTTTGGAGAAGATTAGACAGGGTGTTGTTTAATAAAAAATGCATTGATTGTTTTGACCATATAAAAGTCTCCCTACTCAATAAAACTCCTTCTGACCACAATCCCCTTCTTATTCAGTGTGCTAATAAAGGTCAAACTGGACCAAAGCCTTTTAGGTTCCAGAATATGTGGTTCTCTAATGCTTTGTTTATGGATTTTGTTAAGAAGAGCTGGAACACCTATGAATATGGAGGAGGGATGAGGGGCCGGGTATCTAAGCTACATTATCTTAAAAAGGAACTCGAGGTGTGGAACAAGGAAGTTTTTGGCAATATTTTTGATGATATAAAAAAATGTGAAAATGAGGTTCTGCTGGCAGAAAAAGCTTTTGAAGAAAATCCTGGAGATGATACTAAGGAAGATTGGGCTCATAAAAGGGGTTTGCTTCTTTTTAAACTTAAGATTGAAAGAAAATTTTGGAAACAGAAAGCTCACATCAAGTGGATTAAGAAAGGGGATTGCAATTCCAAATTCTTTCACTCTTTTGTCAAAACTAGAAACAGAAAGAAGTCTATTACCTCAATCAAAGATGGTGCTGGAAACACTATCTCTTCCCATGATCAGATAGGAGAAGCTGCAGTTGATTTCTTCAAGGGCTTGTATTCTGTTCAGAGCAATGTAGCACATAATGAGATTCTGAACCATATTCCTTCACTCATTACTCAGGAAGATAATTACATTCTCACCCACCTGCCAAGTCATGATGAAATTAAGAAAGTGGTTTGGGATTTAAATCAAAATAGTGCACCTGGACCTGATGGGTATAATGGAAAATTTTTTAAGAAATGTTGGGATATTGTTGGCAAAGATGTGACTAGTGCAGTTCAAGAGTTCTTCTTGGGTATTCCTATCCCTAAGGGAATGTCTAGCTCTTTTATTGTCTTAATCCCTAAGACTGATAACCCTAATTCCTTTGCTGAATTTAGACCTATTTGTCTATCTAATTTCATTGGCAAAGTTTGCAGTAAGGTTCTTGCTTCTAGACTTGGTACTATTCTTCCAAAGATTATCTCTAAGGAGCAGGCTGGGTTTATGGCTACTAGAGACATGGCAGATCAAATCTTGATTGCTCAAGAAATGGTGCACAGTATAGACAAAAAGGTCAGAGGGTCCAACATGGTGATTAAGCTTGATATGGCTAAGGCTTTTGATAGGTTATCTTGGGCCTATCTTAATGAAGTTCTTTTCAGATTTGGGTTTTCCTCTCAATTCATTCATTTGGTAATGAATAATCTTAAGTCCACTTACTTATCTGTTCTTGTTAATGGCAGTCCTCAAGGTTTTTTCAAACCTACTAGAGGGGTTAAGCAAGGTGATCCCCTTTCTCCTTTCTTGTTTATTATTGCTCCTGAAGGCTTCTCAAGAGGGCTTAATTGGATTATGGAGAAAGGCTGTATTAAACCCTATTGGATGGGCAGTTTTGGGTACCCCTTTTCACATCTGGGTTTTGCTGATGATCTATTAGTTTTTCTTAATGGGGACTCTAGATCACTTCTTAATTTTAAACAATTTTTAGAGTGCTATCAAGAAGCTTCTGGTCAGCTTGTGAATTTAGACAAGAGTTCATTTATTTGTGGAAAAACCTCTCCATCAAGACAGGTTAGAATTAAAAATCTTCTGGGGATGAAAATGTCTTCCTTACCAATGAAATATCTGGGAGCTAATTTACATAAAGGGATGAACAGGTTTCAATTTTGTGGTCAGATTATCAAGCAATTTGAAAATAAGTTAACCCCTTGGAAGCAGAAACATTTGTCACAAGGTGGGAGGCTTATTTTAATCAAACATGTTCTTAATTCTATTCCACTTCATATGCTAGCTGTGGATTTGCTTCCTAAGAAAGTGGTTAAGATATTGAATAATAAAATGGCTTCTTTCTTTTGGGGTTCTTCTGATATTAAAAAGAAGCATCATTGGATCAGTTGGGAAAATCTTTGTAGACCTACTTCTGAAGGTGGATTGGGTATAAGATCTCTAAGTGATATTGAAAAAGTTTTCTCTATTAAACTCTGGTGGAAGTGGAAAACTAGCAATTCTATTTGGGCAAATTTTGTTAGAGACAGATATAATAGAAGTGGATGTATGATACCTAAGGTCTCAGATTCAGCAATATGGAGAAGAATCTGTGAAATCAATGATTATGCTACATCTTTATGCTCAGATAGCCCTTCTGGTCACCTTACCTGGAATGCAGAAGATAATGGTAAGTTTTCTTTTAAAACAGCATATGAAGAGGTTAGGGAGCAGACCTACAATGATTTCTCATTTGAACATATATGGCATCCAAGACAGGAATTAAGAATTAAAATCTTTCAGTGGAAAGTTTTAAGGAAGATTCTTCCTTTCACAGATAATTTGGGCAAATTTAATATGATGCTAAATCCATCAATATGTCCTCTCTGCAAAAATCACTCAGATAATCAGAATCATGTGTTGTTACAATGTTCTGTGGTAAAACCAATTTGGCAGTATTTCATGGGAATATTGGGTATTCCTTTCTTTAATACCCAGATTTCTCAAGTTTATAGAGCTTGGTGGATTAAGGCTGGTAAAAGAAGTCTGACTGACATATTTAGACATAATTTAGCTGGAATTATCAGTTGGCATATTTGGAAGGTTTATGCAAATCAGATTTGGGGAGACGGGGGTCCTATCCCTAAGACGGAAAGCATCATACTACAGATAAAATTTTACACTCAAGACTGGGTGAGAAGCTTTTCTGGGTTAAAAGTTCGAACAATAGGCTCGGTATTGTTTGAGGATGGTCTCATTCCAAGGAATTTCAGATTGGCTAGCCCTGGGTTTCAAATTATACGATGGAGGAAGCCTAAGAACAACAACAAATTGAACATTGATGCGAAATACTTATCTGGGAATGCTTCAGGGGGAGCGATTATGCGTGATTCAACTGGGAAGATGCTTGGGGCCACGGCGTTTCCTCTTCGAGCGTCTTCGTCCTTAGATGCTGAGATTCAGGCTATTGGGGTTGCGGTGCGTTGGGCGGTGGCAGAAGGTTTTGATAATTTTCTGGTGGAATACGACTGCTACCTGGCGTTGGAGTATATCTCTGGAAGGGAGACGAGGAGATGGCTTGGTCTAATTCAGGAAATCACGCAGGCAGGTTTTAGGAAAGATCTGGCTTTTGGGCATACTTATCGGGAGGGGAACTGGGCTGCGCATTTTCTGGCTGACCTCCAGGCCCGGCAGATGATTTATTTTAATAATCCGGCCCAATTACCGACTTTGGCAAAAAGAGCTTATTTGATGGATTTTTTTGGTATTCCCTCTTTCCGGTATTAAATTTCTTTGCTTTGTTGTCTGATTTTTCTGAGAGTTTTGGTTTGGTCCCCTCTCAGATGTATTTTTTCCTCTATTTAATAATATATGGCAACTGTCCCCCGGCTTTTGCCCCACTGATTTTGGTGGTTTGCCTTCCGGGGTAAAAAAAAAAAAGAATATCACTTTCTCTTTTGCTAGATAGCTCGTGAATGCTCGTGAAAGAATTTCTCTCTTTGGATGCTCAAAGCTTGGTTAGAAACTTTCGTTTCAGCCTATATTTATAAGCTTCTCCTTTGGATTAATCTCATCCGTTGCTTAGGATGAATTAATCTCTGACGTTGAAATTCTTGCAAGGACGAATTGTACATTCGTCTTCTTGTGCTGGAGCATTTATTTGGGATGATTTATTTGTCTTGAGTATCTCAGCCGCTGAAGCATCTCTTCGGAAAATCTTCTCATAATAATACATACGTCCTATGCTCCGGTCTCATGTATTAATTGCCAGTCAATTTTTTGTCTTCAATCATATACATTCAATGTATATAATTTCCGAGCTTCTTTTCTTTAATAATGTGACATATAGTTAACTTTTGAGCTAAAATAATATATACCGGTAGGATCTAAATATCCTATTAAGGTAAATAAAAATTACCTTATTGCATTTTAATTTTTCTGGTAATATTCAAATTGACTCAAAAATTGTACATTTTATTTTATCACATAATTTTGAATGCTAACATACGAACAATATTGAGATACAATGTACACGTGCTAAGTGTAGTGGCATCATCAAAATCTATCAAAATTGGGTACTAACAGATGTCAAGCTTCTTGGCTATGGAGGCTCTTTGGATCAAAGGGTGGAAGTTGGTGAGATGGTTTTGACCATCGACGGGGAGGGAGGTTTCCGGTGGTTATTTCCGGATTCCTCCACTTCGTTTCTTCTTGGTGAACCTGCAAACAGAATACACACGCACACATGCAAAAGTACAAAGAAGAAAATGCCAACCTTGAAGTATCTTTGAGAAGAAAAACTCGGTGATGAAGAAGAAAGGTCGTTGAGTGCTTTGTTATGAATTTAGAAAGTGAGAGGAAGATGATGACGAAACGGTTCAGCCTTTATGTACCCGCGAAAAAGAAAAACTAAACTCTTTTTGGAATTTCTGATTTTGGAAACTGATTCAATTTAACTGACAAAAAAAACCTAAACTGACTCAAATTAAAATACAAATATTTTTGTGATTTTTTATTTATGAGAAAAATTGCGGATACTAAAAGAAATTAAAATACTCCTCAATTGTAGCACTCAGATCAGACTGACAAACTTTGCCCCCCCCCCCCCCCCCCCCCCCTCAATGTTTGCACATATTAGGAAAACCGACCAAGAAACTGGCTCAACAAAAATTTAAATAAAAACAAAAACAAAAAATAAAAACTCCCCTATACTTGTGCACGGTTTAAAAATCCAAATTCAGCATTCCCAGTTTAGAGACCAGGAACTGAAATCTTTTCTCGTCCAGAGCTTTTGTAAATAGATCAGCCAATTTCAGCTCAGTGCACACAAAGTATAGGTCCACATGACCTTTTTCAATATGATCTTTGATGAAGTGGAATCTCAGGTCAATGTGCTTAGTGCGAGAATGATGGACAAGGTTGAAAGAGATAGAAATCGCACTTTTTGAGTCACTGTAGATGGGAATGTGGTCAAAGTAGAATCCAAAGTCACTCTAGAATACATGTGTACAACAACTAGCAGCATCAACATATTCAACCTCCGCTGTAGATGTAGACACATAATTTTGCTTCTTTGAGGACCAACATACCAGCTTTTCTCCAAGAAATTGAGCACTACCAGCAGTACTCTTTCTATCCAATTTACACCCAGCGAAATCGGCATCAGTGAATGCAATCAGATCAAATGCAGTCTCCGTAGGATACCAGAGTCCAAGATTAGGAGTTCCTTTCAGATAACGCAGAATTCGTTTCATAGCCAACAGATGGGATTCCTTTGGATTTGCTTGAAAGTGAGCACAGAGACAAGTAGCAAACATAATAGCAGGTCGGCTCGAGGTCAGATACAACAATGAACCAATCATTCCCCTATAAGTGGTAACATTAACAGACTTTCCCGATGGATCAGTATCAAGCTTGCAGGCAGGAGTCATCGGGGTTTTCACAGGAGTGCTGTTTTCTTGACCGTATTTCTTCAGCAAATCATGAATGTACTTGGACTGATGAATAAAGATTCCGTCAGGCAGTTGTTTAACTTGCAGTCCAAGAAAGAAATTCATTTCACCCATCATGTTCATTTCGAACTTAGATTGCATCAGAATTCCAAATGCAGTACAGAAGGCCCGATCAGTGGAACAAAAAATGATGCTGTCAACGTAGATCTGGACCAAGATGATGTCAGATCCATGACGCTTAATGAATAGAGTAGTATCAATCGTTCCTTTAGAGAAGCCAGAGTCAACCAGGATATAAGATAATTCCTCATACCAAGCTCTCGGGGCTTGTTTGAATCCATACAAAGCTTTATCGAGACGATAGACGTAATCTGGATATTTCTCACTGATGAATCTTTCCAGGTGATCAACATAAACTTCTTCTTTCAAGATCCCGTTTAGAAATGCTGTTTTGACATCCATTTGATAGATGGTGAAGTTCTTGTGTGCAGCATAAGCCATGAACAGTCGGATGGCTTCAATGCGTGCAACTGGAGCAAACGTCTCACTGTAGTCGATGCCTTCTTGTTGATTATAACCTTTCACAACCAGACGGGCCTTATTACGAATCAAGATCATGTCCTTATCTTTCTTATTCTTGAAGATCCACTTAGTGCCTATGATTGATTTTCCAGGGGGACGAGACATAAGTGACTAGACTTTCAGTCTCTCAAACTGATTGATTTCTTTTTGCATGGCGATTATCCAATCAGGATCAACTAACGCTTCAGTGACATGAGTAGACTCAATTTGACTTAGGAAATAGGAAAACAGACATTCATTCTCGGTAGCAGATCGTGTGCAAACTCCATGTGTGAGATATGCCCAGATACAACAGTCGAATAATCTAATAATATTGAATAGTATTTAAAACAGTAGAAGAGAAATTTCATTAATAATGTATACCGTGTATATAGAATGATGTAGTCATGAAGAACAATTACACAGTACTCGAACGTATCAGCTAGAGAGAGAAATTCTAGTCTACTGGCTCTACAGAGAATAATATGCGGAATAGAATGTGTAGAGACTTCCAGAGCTGATTCGGCCATCTCATCCTATATTTATAGGTGAGAGACTTGATCAGCCCTATTACAATTAGGAAATAATATGGGCCGTGCGTGTGGGCTATGTAGTGCTTTTAAATCAGACCTAATTCTCTCTCAGCTAATCTAATTAAATACAAAGACTCATTAATTAAATTACAATTAATTTGAACACAATAAAATAATATTCTAACATTCTCCCCCTTTGTATTCAAATGTTGATGGAGCACGGATTATCTCTGAGTCTTGTACAATGACTTCCGATAGCCTAGGATGACTTCATAATGTCTGAGGGTACTTCTGAAATCAAGTCTAACTCCTACAGCTTCGTGAAAATCTGCAATAAGAGCAATCTGGACTGGGTCAACTGGATCTTCAGAATTTTGTAGCTTCAGTGCAGCTTCTCCCAAATGGTCTTCTATGATTCTCAGTGTACCATCACAATATTTTTGAATTTCATTCATGAGTAGGACTCGCTTGATGCCTTTGTAGTCTTTGTAGATCAGTCCTATCTCTGGTTGTGTGACAATGGTGCCTTCTTCAAAATTCTCGACTCAGGGAGCTCTATTTCTTGGTGCAGACATGTTCACTTTTGGAAAATTGTTTTCTATGGCCATTTGCAAATCGAAGAGTGAATAGTATTTGACTTGTCTCATCATGAATCTCTTGAGTGCATTAAGGCCTAGATCTTTGTCCTTTTGAGAAAGTTCTCTAAAGTTGACGTATCTGTACTCGTAGAATAATTGAATCAAATCAGTAGAAACTAAGTAGTACAGGTCAGCTTCAGATGCTCTTTGGATTATGCCGTTTTGTCGTTCAAACTCATAAATTGGATAGAACGTATCTTTTCCAATATGATGTATCTCAATAGCTCGAATAGCAATGATCATAGAATCAAAATGCTTGACTAATCTTTTGCGGTGTCCATAAGGATCATTCTGATCGGCAGGCATGTTTCGTAGCATCCATATATGTCCGGAAGCAGCAGTTCCTTCTAAATGTTCAAGTCCTCTGAGTTCTAGCTCGTCAATCTTCTTGATTCTTTTTTCACTTCTCCAAATTCTGGGTCTCAGAACTTCTTGATATGGCACAATTATCTTGACGTTTTCCCAAGGTGTCTCTAAATTGTCTTCTGTATTGAATTTCTTTGGGTGCGTCTTGATCAGATCCTTGACTATGTGAAAATCAGGAAGTGGATCATCGTAGAATTCTCCTTGAGCTATTTCTTCAGAGTCTAGTCCCATTAAGTTTTCAGCAGCAGTCTTCTTGACTTCTCGTATGAAATTCAGCTGGCTAAGAGCTTCTTCTTTGTTCATCTTTTGAAGTTCGTCCTTCTCATTATCTTCTATCCAGTCGAGTTATATCAGATCAGTAGCTTTCTCTTTTAGATCTCTTTCTTTTCTCTTTGAACCTTCTTTCTTGGATGACGATGGTAGATCAGCTGGAATTGGTATACAAACGGACTTAGAAGAATATGTTTCTCTCTCATAGTAGTAGTGGGTAACATAACACCGGAGTCACAAAGACTTATCGTTTTCATCATACTAGAGACTAGCTTGTTCCGATGGCCTGAAGACAATGGTGATTCATATGTTGCATTGTCAGGACTTCCTTCCAATCCTTGGTCAACATCCATGAAGGATGAGCCTATAGAAGTTCTCGAGAGGACACAAAGTCCTGGCTCAGTGTTTATGGGCTCGAAAGGATGATAAACGATTAAGGCTAGTGAGTCATTGGGTGCGGTAGAGTTTGAGGGTTTAGGCTGAAAAGATGTAGATGGTTCAGAGCTAGTGGAGGATGGAATGATGGATTGAGATGTGGTTTGCTCACAAGCATGTTGCCTTTTCTCCCCGTCATGATGATCCGAATCGTAGGTGTCATCATGCTTACGCTTAGGCAAGCGTTCTTGATCACGGCAGGTGGTAGTAGGGATGAATGGAGGGGTGAGGGCTAGGATGTTTCGTACTTGAATTAGGTGAGGTGGGAGGATGGGTTCAGATAGGAGTCTATCAAGGAAGTACTCGGATAAATCAAGAATGTTCATTTGTTTTGGGTCAGGGTGAGAGGTAGATGGAGCGCATGTGGGTATTATTGAGGTGGGTGTGATGGTAGATGGAAGAGTTCCTATGCAGGGAGTTGGGTGTGATCCTTGGTCTGCTACGCCTGTTGGGACTACAGGACGTAGGTCTTGTAAGAGTGAAAGCTTGAAGGATAGAAGTTCAGACCTTAGATCCTCCTAGTTAAACTAGCAAAGGAAGAAAAACTTGACCTAAAAGAAGTATCAGTTCTCACAGCATCACTAAGAATAGCGGTGCCATGGCCTGCTGGGGAGATCAGTGTGGCAGGACTTCCAACCATCATTGGCATACCTCTGGTTGTTATGATAGGTGGTAATGAGCCTGTATCAGTGTGTGCAGATGTAGAAGGTTGTGCCCTAGAGAATGATAAAACTTCTGGGAATGTGGATACATGACCTAACGTGCATTGGGTAGCAGTGTGGGCGGTTCACTGATGGGTTCCCCTTGTGGGATTGAAACAACTATCTGTTGGGAGACAGTTGAGTGGTCTAGGATTGGCTCATTTTGCGCTATTGAACTCAATGTAGCGACTTCTACTTGGGAAATGACAACGTCAGAACCTGTACCTATGGGCTGAGTTCAGTGTATTTCAGTGACTGATGGTGATGTAACAATTACAGCATTAGAGGAGGAGACATCAGCTCTCTTGGACTGAGTCTCACCTGCCCTCTTCTTTGGTTTAGTCACTCTCGGACCCTTACTTCCACTCGGCTATAAGTCCCTTGGGTAGACACAGTGGGGTTTGACTGCGTCGTAGGGATAGAAGAGATACTAATCTTGTATTCAGCGACATGCGGATCATTTGGAGCAGCAAGGTTGAGTAGTACCTCTGGAATAGGCATTGGATGCATTTGAACTTTGTCCTCAGTGTTCTTTAGATACTTCGTCATCGGAAGTTCAAGCAACTCTGCTTCTGGTCTTCTTGGAATGTTGGAGTCCGTCTTCATGAAATTGATGAGGGATGTACTTGGTCTTGCTGTTGTATCTCCTTAATTTGAGTTGTTCGAGAAGCTCCATCCAGATCAGCTGTGCCCAATCATAATTCTTTGAAAATATCACCCCGTGGACTAGCTTGAGAAAGTGAATGTTGCAGCGATCATGACCAGATTGTTTTGGCGAGAGGCACTTGTTGAGGATGTAGAATAGGGTTCTCCATGGTCGGGGTAGAAGGTTGCCGTAGAATTCAGAAAATTGGGTCAAAGGAGATGGGTGGCCAACCTTCAGAATGTCGGTGAGTATGTCTTTATCAGCAGGAAAAGGGTCAAATGATGGGGTTATGGTATCATAGGTGATTTGAACAGTGGAGTTGGCTATTTGGGCTTGAAATGTGGGGATAGGAGTGTTTTCTGTAGAAGTGAATGTGCCCCAGAATTATCGCAAGTAGATATTGGGCACTTTGGCAGATATGATGTGTGCTTGCCACAATGGGTGCCCTTTGAGAATGGATACCACCACTTTTTCTTGGCATTTGAATGTAGTGGGGTCTATTAGAAAATTGTTGTCCTTGATTTCAATCCAACTGTCCTTTGGATACACTTCTTCCTCAGTGATGAATGCCATTTTGCCTGTAGTGCACAAATTAAAACACTTGTGATTAGAAAAATTGATTTTGGGCTATGATTGTTTAAGGATCAAATGGGCTCTGCTTTTGGAATGACTTGGTCTTTAAAGATTTCGGGTCTTAGGAATTTCGGGTAGGAGAATTTCGAGGGATGGGATTTTGGATTGAAGGATTCTGGAAGGAATGATTTCGGGACAAAAGATTTCAGACAAGATTTCGGGTTCCCGAGTCAAACTAAGGATTTCAGATCTCAGGATGGGAATTCAGGTCAAAGAATTTTAGATAAGGTTTTCAGAAAAAGGGATTTCGAAGAGAAAGATTTCGGGTGCTCGGATTTAGGTTTGCATAGGGATGATTTCGGAACGGCGAATCTCGGGAAGGTGAATTCGACTTGGTTCGTGTTTCGAGATTGGGATATCGGATCTGAGAATTTCGGAAGACTTGAAATCTCAGAATTCGAAGAGCGTGAATATGAAAGCCTTTTGGTTATGGATTTGAGAAACAAGGGACAGTCATCAGAGGTGAAAATTTTGAGGATGAGAAGGTGAAGATTGTCGGAGAAGAGAGATGTTGACGACGGCGAGGTGGGATTCCGGTGGTCTGAGCCGGTTCCTCATCGTCGTTCTTGGATTAATACCTGCAAAACACACTTACTCACACACGCATGCAAATAAAAGGAGATAAAACCTTTGAAGCTTTGAGAAGATGATCGGTGAGCAAGATGATGGACAGTGACTCAGCGGAAAAAAAACTCTTTTTGCCTTTTTTTGATTTTGGAAACTGACTCAATTTAACTGACTAAAATTCCTAGACTGACTCAAAATAAAAGAGAAAAAATATTTTTGTGATTTTCTAATTTATGACAAAAATTGCGGATACTAAAAGAAATTAAAATACTCCCCCTCAATTGTAGCACTCAGACCAGACTAATTTTGTTCCCCCTTAATGTTTGCACATTTTTAGGGAAACAGACTAACAGATCAAGAAACTGACTCAAAAAAAATGACACAACAAAAAATAAAATTAAAGAAAAACTTAAACTAAAAACTCCCCCTATACTTGTGCACGGTATCAAAATTCCAAATTCAGCATTCCTAGTTTAGAGACCAGGAACTGAAATCTTTTCTCGTCCAGAGTTTTTGTGAATAGATCAGCCAGTTGCAGCTCAGTGCACACAAAGTATAGGTCCAAATGACCTTTTTCAATATGATCTTTGAGGAAGTGGAATCTCAGGTAAATGTGCTTAGTGCGAGAATGATGAACTGGGTTGCATGAGATAGTAATCGCACTTTTTGAGTCACTGTACATAGTGCAATAGTGCATGAGATAGTAATCGCACTGGGTTGCTTTGTTCATCACCACCTGCAACTTTGCTTCTCTACTACCTGCAAATTGAAAACGAATGCACTATGTTTCTTAAGCAATGCACTATTGCTCTGTTTCACAACAACAGAACTACTCTATTTGGTTGTACCCAGAAAATATCTACTTTTGGTACACACGAATTATTTGACTTCCATCGAAAAGCAGTTGTATAACATATTATGTGAAGATTATGTTCATGACATATATAAATAAGTGTTGCACTGTAGCATCATAATTTTCAACATATTGCATTGACTTCATGCACATTCCAAAATATCTTACTCTTATCACAATTTCACTTGTGATACAAGCGATTGATTGTTTGTTTCAATATTTGCTGCACTTAGGATTTAGACTATATGCACATTCACATATCAATAATATGAATTCCTACCAATACAAGACAAAATAATTTAACTATGCACTATACGCCTTTTTATCACACTAATCATATACTTTTCATGACCCTAATTTCTTAATTTTTCAATTCTTGATTCAAATAAACTTCCCTATTCAAATTTCAATGCACTTTAATTACTTAATCCATTATATTCTTTCTTTTCATGAAGTAATGAAAAAAATGCACTACTTGGTCATATGTACGAACTCAAAACCTTTTGGTCATGCACAATCGCACCATACCGATATTGCTTCACACAGTGCCAAAAAAATTTCAATTTTTTTAACTTTTCATGATAAACGCTACAAAAATTTCACCAAAATCATCTACCTTCAACATGCATTCAATCCATAACAAAAAAGATTTAAACCAACAATTTTTTTCACCAAATGAATCAAGGTAATCGGCGAACCTATAGCACTCTTCGCACTTCCTGATGCTCGCTTTCATTGGCGGTTGTCATTCTCATTCGAAGCCTACCTAGAGTTTCGCAGCTCGTGGCCGCCTTCCTTCTTTAGTTCTTCGACCTCTGTTCGTTTCTGAGTAGGAGTCTGCACAAGGAAGGAACTCTTCTTTTTGAAATATAGCGGCACATTAATCGGGATTTGTTGCTATAGAGGAATTCGTGCGCCCCAACCGCCCTAATTAATCACAACTGCCTTTTACCAATATACCCTTAAGTTGGATTCTCAATGCACGTTTCCTCCTTTTTATTTTTGCACGCACGTATCATGTGCCTTTTTTAATTGGCATAATATGTAATCCGAGCCGCAAGTTTAGACAAATGGACGGTTTGGTGTTGTTCTTTTCTCTCTCCTGAAAGCTCTATCTCACAGGAATCCTCCCCTATATATATATATATATATATATATATATATATATATATATATATATATATATATATATATATATATATATATATATATTGGTTCAAATAAGAACATGATTTTAGAAGAGGAATGAGAATGAATAAAAACAAATAAGATTTGCTTTAAGTGAAATTCAGTGTGCATTAGATGAAATAAATAATGTGAAATATTGGGTGAAATTTAAATGTGCAGCACAAAGGGTACAATATAGTGGCATTATGTGAAGTTGAATTGTGCATTAGGTGAAACCGAAATGTGCAGAAGAAAAGAAACGATGTGATGTTATTTTTGTACCTTTTATTCCGCACTTTTCAGTTTCACCTAATGCACACTCGAGTTTAAATTTTTATTCTGCACATTTCAATATCATCTAATGCACATTTCAGTTTCATCAAATGACAATTCAGTTCCACATAATACAATCTAACGGTCCAGATTCATTCTCATTTCTCTCATGAGAGTCCGTTCTTACCGGAACCACTCCCTATATATATATGGGAAAAGTACGGAAAAGGTACTTGTGGTTGGGCCCGTTTTCAGATAGGGTCATGTGTTTCATTCTCTATCAAAGTAGTTCATGTGTTTGAATTCCGTTATCACAACAGGGTGACGCCATTAAAAACGTCTGAAAAAGACCGTTAAGAGTAACTCCGATTTTCAAAAGTGTCCGAAAAATTAAAAGAAAAATACCGACAGGGCAGTGTATATGTTGGTCCCGGTTGACTGGATACAGTCTAGAGGGGGGGTGAATAGACTGTATTGGTTTTTAGCTTTTTCAAGCTAAGTACCAGATGTAACAGAATAGCCTGTTCTGTGGGCAGAACAGACTGGCAGCGGATGGGGTTCTGGTAGGGAGTTTTGTTAGTAGCCTCAGAGAAGCAAAGGCAGTAGGCCTTCTGTTAACTCACAACACAAGTTCTGCTGAACACAGATACCAAGTCTTTGGAGTTAAGCAGTTCAAACAAAAGCAATGAATGTAATGCAGTAAGTAAATGACACCAGGGCTTTTTATAGTGGTTCAAGGAACAACTTGTTCCTCTAGTCCACTGTTCCACTAAGCTTGTAAAAACGTCCGTTTACAATGCCTTAGCCCTATCACTTAAGAAGCTCTCCACGTCTTCTTCAAGTGTAGATGTCTTCTTGGATGCACTTCCGACTTCCCTAAGACTGGTCCTTTCACTGAGCTTTCCAGAAGTATCACCACTTCACTGCTCCAGGTACTTGGATGTCCTTCTTGTGAAAGAAGAGGTTCTATTTAGAACAGAGGTTCCTCCAACTTGCTTCGTTACAAAGAGTTTGTATGTGATGAGCTTGAAGAGTTGAAGAACACTTGGAACTTTGCTTGAGTTGGAAATAAGGATTTTTCCAACTTCTGCCTTCTCTTGTAGAGGATGATGAAGTTTCAATCTCAAGGAGGCTTTTTGCGTTTTTAGCGTTTGAATATCTTGTATGCAGAGTTGTAGCAAAAGTAATAGCAAAGTTATCCGGTTGTTCTTCGTAGTGTATCTTTTATACTGAGGTTGTCTTCCCGTTGGAGGAGAAGGAGGACAACTGCATTAAATGAGCGAGCAGTTGACTTGACCAGTAGGACCCGGTAAAGTTGGCGGGTTACTATTTTGGGATAAAGTAATTCCTGACATTGCGGCCATTCATCTGCATTTACTCTTCAGAGTATGGAAGGCATTAAATGTGCATTTAATGCGCGTACTGTAGCTTTTCCATTCAAGACTCCTAGCCGTTGAAGGAATCTTTCAGACGGTTTCCCGGCTTGGTGAAATTCTCCTAAGTGTCAGGCCTTCTGGTGTCTTTAGCAGAGAGTTGATCAGAGAAGGTCTTGAGCACTTCTGTTGAGAAGATATCCAACAGAGAACCAGGAGGGTTTCTGTCAGAGTAAAGGATAACAGAGACCCTGAGGTCTTCTGTTCAAAAGCAGAGAACCAAAGGTCTTCTATTTAACCAAAGCCTTATCAAGGGTCCTCTGTCAGGGGGTCTTCTGTCCTGGGGGCTTTCTGCTCTTGAGGCCTTCTGCCAGTCGATTATACTAAAGAATTTTACAAAGGAAAATTATAATACATTGAGTCTAAAGAGGGGTACTCTAAAGTCCTGATTAATCTAGCATCATCAAAATCTAATTACAAATATTCCTTACAATTTCCCCCTTTTTGATGATGCCAAAACCCTTTAACTATTTCCAGAGAAGTGCCTTCACCATAAAGAATTAAAGTTTAAAACTTTCATTAAAATCTTGGTGGGCAACTTGGCATAGGAAAATAGTAAGAGTGCAGTACATATAGATGGCAGATAATAAATAAAAAATAGGCAGAAACAAAAGAAAAGACAGAGATTGAGGAATTGCCTTACAAAGTGTGAGGCAGAGATGTTCTTTTATTAAGGTGGATTACAAGAATATCTGATTACATAATAGTCTTTGCAGCTTCAGCCCTTGCTTGTTCATCCAGTCCTTGTAGCCTCTTTAGCTATGCGTTCACCTCTTCTCTGATTCCAACTAGATTTCCAGATCTCTGATAAGAAGCCCAAACGGGTGAGAGCTTGCAGTCTAGGTAGTTTAGAACACCTTCATGAATATGTTTTCCTGGTACAATGCTGTTGTGAAACCAGAACTCTGCCTCCTCCAGAGATCCACCATGTCTAACCTTTACATGACCATCATGGTCCAGATAAAGATTTTGTTGTTGTGTGGAGGTCATCTTCTGCTTCATTTCCTCAAATTGGGTTTTATTCATCACCTGAGATCCTCCCAGTCTCCATTCTTTAAAGCTTAGAGCTTTCTTCTTCTTAGTTCCTTTCTTCTGTGGAGATGGAGGTCTAGGGATACCAGCTAGTCGTTTCTTCTGGAGGGCAGCTTCAAAATAAGGAGTGGGATCCACAACTGGTTCAGCAGATGATGAGGCTCTGGGGGTCCTGGGTTTTGGCAGATGAGGGTCTTCTTCCCCCTTTTTGGCATCATCGAGATCACCAAGCAGAAGGGGAGAGTTTCTGGAATTCTGTGGCCTGAGTAGAGGCAATCTGTTCCAGGGTTTCTGGTAAGGTTTGAGTGAAAGATGTGAGGCCTTCAATCAGCCCCTGTTGTTTCTGGATGGCAGACATGATATCTTTGTTGCTGGATTCTAAGAGAACCATCTTCTGATATCTCTCTTTGTCTGCAACTAGGAGGAGTTGTCCTTGAGTAGTATGGTCATTGCAGAGGGTGTTTAGTTCTTGTAACCTTGCATGAAGTACTAAATCTGATTTCTGAAAAGATGCCACTGCCTGGGAAAGGGTTGAAAGTGTGGTATGTTGGGAATTCAGGGTCTGATTCATGGCAGTCAGAACAGTCTTGATAGAGTCCACTTCAGTGGAGACAACATCAATCTTGAAATTGGATGAAGTCATGAAATCCTTAAGAACATTTGTCAGAGTAGCAGACATGTGTTTGAAGCCAGACTTCACATTGTCATCCACATGTTGCAGACCTTCATAGTGTTTATCATTAATCAGTATGAGTTTGTTCATGCCTTCTAATATCTGACCTCCAAAGTCATCTACTGCTGCTACAAAATCATTGAAGGGTATCTGATTCTCTTGTCCAGCAGAGTGAGGCAGCTCTAAACCTCTTTCCTTAGGCAAATGGTGATGCTCTTGGACAGAGGAGAGGGATTGGACAAGGAGTTCATGCTCAAGTTGAGTCAGAGGGGGGGTCTTCTGTCTCTTTGAGGTAGCTTTGTAGGACTTGCTGACAATGAAGCCATTCATGTCAGAGGAGTCTTCATAAGAGGAGTAGATTGGGATTCTGGTCCTGATTACCTTCTTCTTCTTCCGGAAGGAGGGATTGGGGGCAGTAGAATGCCTAGAGTATCCTTGTGGTGCAGAGATGGGGGAGATGGTTGTAGGATCAGAATCTCTTAGGAACCAGATAGGTTTTAGCTGAGCTGGGGGTTGGTGTGGTGGAAGGGACGCTTGTGGAGTGACTTGATGTTCAGACTTGGGAGGTGAAGGGGATTTCTGTTGAGGTGGTTGTGATGAGGAGATAGTCTGTTGGGGTTGGTGTGGAATAATTTGTCTTTGAGGAGATGGGGGAGGGGAAGAGGATCTGTTCTTTGGGGGAGAGAACGGTTTGCAGGGTGAAGGAGATGTAGATTTGGAGATTGAGGGCTTTTGGGTTGTGGGGGTTTTCTGTTCAGAAGAGGGGTTCTGATGATGTGAGGAGGTGTTCTGTTGGGGGGTTGGGAGTGTATGCACAGAGGGGGATAATGGAATCAGGGGTTCTGTTGGAATAAGTACAGAAGGGGTTGAAGATATTACCTCTAGTACATTTTCTTCAAACACAGAGGTCCTCCATTCCTTGATGAGCTCCATCATAGCTTGACCTTCAGTCTTTGGTACAGAAGGTTCTGCGGGAGTAGAAAAGGGCACAACAGATTCCCTTGCCTTCTTGGCAAACAGCCAAGCTTCGAACACATCAACCTCTTCATCTGCAAGGGGTTTTACTGGCTCATCAGAAGGAGTAGAGACCAGGATTGTCTTGCCTTTGTAGTTGGCCTTCTTCTTCTCAAGTACAGAGATGAGAAAGTTCATGGCAAAGCACTTAGAAACGTCATTTGTGCCTACCCAGTTAAATACTTCTGCCTCCTCTGATTCATAATGATCAAAGTAATGGATAATCTTCTGTAGAGGCCCCATCCTCCAGCTTCTCCAAGCTAACACACGCTCAAATTGCTTGTCCAGAGCTGTTCTGAAGTCTGTCTGAGGTTCTGGAATGAGGGGTGTTAGGTGTTCTCGAGTTGTTCTGTTACAAGTGCTTTTCTTCTTCTGGAATTGTCTTCATACTTCTTCTTTTCTCCATCATGCCCTTGTTTTTTGGACACTCTTGGATGAGGACATTCTGCCTTGAAATGTCCAGGTTGTCTGCAGTTGTAACAGAGAAGCTCACCACTGTTTTCTGTTGTTTTGACCTTCTGGAATGGCTTTCTGCTGAAT